CTTTGAATTACCTACATGGCTCCCATGTTTCTATTGTACAACATTACCCTTGAATAGTGTTTATTAACTTTATTTGCATTTTTACCCTTCCTTGGAAGCCTTTTTAGACTTTTTCCCAATGTACCTGGACCACATGAAATTGTAAGCCCCACACAGGTACATTATATATCTGTTTATATATCCTGACCTTTGTAATAAGATTTTACACCTCTCAAACCAATTTCTGCTGCCTTGTTTTTGTAGTTGTTGATTGCCTTCAAGTCGACCATGACTCATAGTGACCCCATGAACAAAAGACCTGAAGTCTCTCCACAACTATGGACATTTATCAAAGTTCATAGAGTTTCCAGAGGCATGTTGTTTAGGAAGTGGATGCCACTCCTGCTTCCAAATCTGTCATAGAATGTTATTGGTTGAGTTGCCTGCAATGTACAGCAACCCTATGCACAGCAGCTCTGAACTCTTCCCTGTCCTGAGCCAGTCTCAGTAATTTTGACACATTAACCTGCATCACCCCAGTCACTGTATCAATCCATCTCATCCAAGGTCTGTCCACTCTTCCGAGCATAATGTCCTTTTCCAAGGACTGATCTCTCCTGGCCACTTGACCAAAGCAAGTGAGGCAGAGCTTCAAAATCCTAACCTCCAAGGAGAGACTTGGTTTCACCCTCTCCAAGACAGACCTATTTGTTTTCTTGGTGGTGCATAGTATGTTCAAGACTCTTCGCCAGCACCAAAGGTATCTATTCTTCTTCTGTCATCTTTAGTCATTGTCCTAACATGAAGCATAACAAATAATCGAGAAGACCATGACCTGGATTAGGGGAACCTTTGTATCTAGACTGAGATAATTGCTCTTCAGCATTCTGGAGAGGTCCATGATAGTGGATTTTCCCAATGCAATTAGTCTTTTGATTTCCTGACTGCTGGTGTTAAGAGTGTTAATTGTGAATCTGAGCAAGCTAACAGCCTCAATCTCTTCTCCATCTATTATGGTGCTACCAACTGGCCCAGTGGTGGAGGCAATATTTCCATGATTGAAAGTACATGTTTTAGAAGATAATAGCACCATAAGATGGAAGGAGCCAGAATCCCTGACTCAGGGAAAACTATAAACCAAAAAAATCTAAACTCATTCTGTGAAGTAGATTCTGACTTGTGTGCTACAGAGTTGAACTGGTTTATAGGGTTTTCTTGGCTGTACCTTTATAGAAACAGGTTGCCAAGCCTTTCTTCTGCAGTACTGCTGTGCGGATTTAAATGTCAAACGTAATTTACTACAGATTATCATATATCCTTTGTTATTGTTGTTGTTGTGTACTGATGAGTCAGAACTTACTCATAGCTGACCCTCCAGCAGATGTTCAGAGGCAGTCAATCGCATCTTTCTCCCGCCGAAGCAGCTGGTAGACTCAAATTGCATGCCTTTGGGATTGCAGTGGAGCTTCTCACCATTAGGCCACCAGAGCTCCTTCACATATTCCTTAAAACTGCCAGTATTTAGGGAGGTAGTCAAGAGCAAACTGTTAGCACATACTAAGGGCCCAGAAGGTTACTACATAACTGTCTTAATTATTTTCTGCAGTTAAAACAAAAATATGACAAGTGACTTTAAGACATGGGATCTAGGGAAAGGCTCTTTCTCTTTGTTTATTCTGTGCCTTTTTCTTCCCAATCCTAGGTTCCTTGGCAATCATATGAATGTATCTTCCTCTCTATTATTGCTTGTGACTCTTTTATATCTCAAAAGATTGCCTTAAAGCACAACCTACATTAATATTGCCACATTAACATATCAAAGAAACCCCTACTTCCAAATGAGAGTAAAATGATATTTTTATTTAATAAAATGGAGTTTTACTCCCATTTGTGCTTACAGATTAGAATATACAACTGTGGTGTTAAGGGGGTTTTGTTTAAAATGGTGTCCTTAGCCATTGACTTTGATTTTGCCATCTGATGGACAGGAATATATCAACAGAGTGCATTAGCCTATCCACAAGGAGATTGACTAGTCTCATTACTAAACTGAATAGATGCAGTGGTGAAATTGAGAATTTCACCTCCAGTAAAGAAGAAGCAGGCATGCAGTGCACACCCTTCAGGGCCAGAGATTCTTGTACCAGGCAGATCTACAGAAGAGCAGCAGCAGCAGCTGAAGCACAGGACCAGAGACCCTACACAAGATAGAACTGATCCTGGGACTGCTACTACAAGAAACCAGAGCTAAGAGCCTTTGCCTAAGTTTGCTGGGAAACGGGTGGGGAGAGCCATGATTTGCATGACTGAGAGGTTTTATAACATTGGCCTAAAGCTGAAAGGGTCAATGTTAAAGTGCCTTTGAGCACATTTCAGAAACTGTCCTGACTGATTGTATCATGCTGCCAGCCCTTTTGACTTCACTAATGTGGTGGCCCATGAGCTATCACTACTAATTTCAGACCCAGTAGAGCAGTAAGATTGGTACTAGAATTGTTAGAAAGAGGTGTAGGATCATAGGAGACATGTCTAACTTCATGGGAATTAGTTTTGTGTTGTATTTGTTGATGGGGACAGTTCTCTTGTGGAATTCACAGAGGTCAGATGTGGTCATCCTCACACTGCCCTTTCTCTTTTAACAAAACTACATTGATAGGCAGTGTGAGAGACACAATTCAATATGGAACACCTAGAAAGAAACAAATTATTATTGTATAAGCCACTGAGATTTCAGGATTGTTTTAGGGGCCACCACTGATTATCCTGAAAAATAAATTCCTTGAAGATTTTACAACAGAATCAATAAATACAAGAGTTTTTATAAAATAAAAAGCTAGGGGTACACATAGCCCAACTACATTAAGTTCTGAATCTCTCATTATATTACGAAAGCCATCCTAGAATCATACCATAGCCTGGTACTTGCTTATATATTCATCTCTAATGGTGTCTTGCCTAGTATCCAACATTTCAGACAGAATTAAGTTGGTGCTTTCTTTATCCCCCTTGCTTTGGTACCTGGAACCACATTCTCCTCTTTGTATGGTAAGTCTGTATTTAAACAGGAAATTCTACCACCCACCAAAGTTATGAACACTGATCTGCTCCATAGATGCTTTATTGTTTTATTCATTCACTGTGAAGAAGTGACTAACATAAAAATGTCGAAATTCACCATTCCAAACAGGAAAGGAAGCCAGAGTGAAAATGTAATAATGGTGCTTCAAGTATATCACATTTGCTAACTTGTAGGACTATGTGAATACCTACCTAAGGCCTTTTCCAGGGCCAAGAGAATAGTGAGATTCTTTGAAGCTTAAGCCCCAGGGGATTCTACAGAACATAAAATCAAAAGGCTCGCAAACTAATGTGCTCACACATGGGAGCTTTTTTATCTTTCTTACGCTTTTTCTTTTTTTTTTAATACTGGCTTATGACAGAAGGAGAATTGATGCCTTTGAGCTGTGGTGCTGGAGAAGAGTATTGAATATACCATGGACTGCTAGGAGAACAAACTAGTTCATCCTGGAGAGGGTGAACCCAGGCTGCTCCTTCAAGGCAAGGATTCTGAAGTTTCATCTGACATACTTTGGGCATGTTACAAGAAGGGATCAGTCCCTGGGGAGGGACATCATGCTTGGGAGGGTGGAGAGACAGCACAAAAAAGGAAGACCCTCAATGAGATGGATTGATTCAGTGCCTGGGGTAATGGGGGTAGGTGTGTCAGAGACAATAAGATTGGCATAGAATAAAGCAGGTTTTAGGGCTATTGTACATAGGGTTGCTATGAATCGCAGATGACTCAATGGCACATTAACAACTAGATTATTTAGAAAGTTTGAATACTTAGTTTTTCACACTCGATCTTTCCCATTTCCTTTAGCCCTCCTCCACCCATCAAATTGTGCGACCCTGTAATTAACAGCACCCCCTGTCCAGCCCATCCTCACCTCCCTCCTTTGGATCCTAATACGCTTTCTACAATGTCTATGTATTTAGAGGACTGAGTTTGTTCACTTAGCATGATGCTCTCTGGTCCCATCCAGTTACGTAGTGATTTTCAAATTCATTGCTCCTGCATGCTGTTCTAGTATTCCGGTGTGTGAGTGTACCATAATTTCTCAATCCGCTCGATTTTGGTTGGGCATTTGGACTGTTTCGATGTTCTTGTGATAGTGAGTAACGCTGCTATAAACATTGTTGTACAAATCTCCGTCTGTGTCTCAGTTCTTTTTCTCTCAGGGTATAGTCCAAGCAGTGGAATAGCTGGATCATATGGAATTTGTGTTCAGCTTTTGACACCAAACTGCCTTCCAGGGTGGTTGTACCATTTTATAATCCTACCAACAATGTATGAGTTCCTATTTTGTATGAGTTCCTATTTTGCATGCGTTCCTATCTTGCCACATCCTCTCCAAAATTTATTTGCTATCCTGTTAAACTTTGCCACTGCTATTGGAGTGAGATGGTATCTCACTGTGGTTCCTATTTGCATCTGTTATTGCCAGTGCTTTTGAGCAGTTCTTCATCACATGGGAGTTTTTAAAGTTTTTCAACAAATGTGTTGAATAAATGTATGATATTTTTTTTGTTGGGTTTTGTTGTTGTTGTTTTTTTTTTTTTTAACTGATCTGGGCACAAGAGAAATTAATATGTCATCCAATAGGGTAGTGAATGTACTAAAGGCCCAGAGAAAGTTATTTTGCCTCAAGACAAAGAAGATGAGCAGAGAAGATGTAAGTAAGGTATGAGTGAAAAGTGCATATTGGAGATAATGATTTATGAAAAGTGAACAGAATGGAGACATATGCAAATCAAATACTTAAATTTAACAGTGAAAAGTGAACGTATTCAGTATCAAAAGTTCAGTAAATAAATTGGGGATTTGGAGCCTGGACCAGTAATGCAGAAAGCCAGTGAATCCGGTACCCAGCCATGCCCCTCCTTCCGGCACTTGCCACCTCCCCTTCTTAAAAAAAACCCCAAACCGGTAACCACTACCCGGCCATCTCCTATTGGCTATGAGTACGAGCGAAGTTCACCTGGACCAACGAGCTGCAGCCACGGCTTGGGGAGCTCCTTCCGGCCCGCCCCCTAGCGGGGGGGGCCGCCCCGTTGCCTACCTAGCATGGGCCGAGGGCGGGGATTTCGGGGCGGCGGGGGCGCGGCGCGCAGCAGAGCTCAAGCAGCGGCAGACCGGAGCAGGACAGAGGCCCGAGGTGCTCAGCATGGCTCGCCTAGTGTTCGGTAGGCATAGGGCCCGGCGGCATGTGCTGTATCGCTGGGACAGCGAGGGGCGGCGTGGGGGTAGGGGAGGTTCTTGAGAGTGGCGCCCGGGAAGGCCCCCAACTCCCATGGCAGGCGGCCTCAAGCCGGGTGAAGTGAGGGGCAACGGGGGCCTCTCCCGCTTACCTGGGGAGCGGAGAGGGCGTGCTTGAGCCGATCCTTGCGCCGCTCCAGGGTCATGGGCTTCCTCTTCCCTTCTCACTCCGATTGATCCTGAGGGTGAGTGCGTGGCCGGCCAAGCGTGCCCTGGGGTAGAGGTTCTCCGGGCCCACCCTACGCGGGAGAGATCTCGGCTTTGTGTTCTGGAGGGAAAGGGGTAAGGGGGTTACCGTGGGGAAGCGGAGGGAGTTCAGGTTTCCCCTGTGAGGCTTTCCAGGCCGGGACTCGGTGCGGCCGGGAGGGAGAGGGCCCCGGGCGTGGGGAGGCTTCCGCAGACCTCACCTGGAGGGCAGCGGACGTGAGAGCGCGTTTGGCCGGGAGAGCCCATTGTAGTCCACCTGGAGCCCGCCGCGTGTGTTAGTCTCTCTCCCTTAAACTCCGAGATCTTTAGGGCGCAGGAGGAAATGGGGGCGGCAAGGGACGCACTCTTCCCCATTACCACTTTGGAAGTTGGTGCACCCCCTGGAGACTCTCCGTGGCGGGTGTGCGAGAGCTGGGCGGCCGATTCCGAGTAAAGAGACGGCGTGGGAGCGGTTTTCGTGTTTCGTGGGTGGAGAGAGCCGCAGCCAACTCTAAGAACTGCATTTGAACCGCTCAGGTCCGCGGATGGATTAACACATGCGGGAGGTTCATCTGGGCCCCATCCCCGTGTTTAGGTTTAAACCCAAAGGGTCTCAAACTGCCAGTGTGTGCACAGGCCTCCTGACACGAACTTGTTCCGACCACCTGTTTTCATGTATTTCCTACACGTAGAAAAAGCTGAAATCTTAGATTCCTAAAAGAAGATGGATAGTTCCATAGAAAGGGACACAGTACTTGAGATGCAAGAACAGTTTAAGTATGATAGAACGTTTTAAAAGCGGGGTTCATTACCTCTGAATTAATACGTATTTTAGAGACTATATTGGGTAAAATTTGAGGGAGGGTCTGTGCTAGCCTTGGTCATATCCAAGACACTGTAACAGTCGTTGACAGCACAGTATGTATGAATGTTGGCCACTTGAGTTAGACCTCCAGCCCCTAATTCCCCCCCCCCCCCCCCCCGATTTGCTTGTTGTGTGACTGGGAACAAGTCGTTCAGTCCCTCTCTGTACCAGTGCTTTCTCATTAGTTAAGTGGAATTAATAGTAGTACTCCATAGGATTGTCCTGAGGATTGAGTTAATGCTAGCAAAGAACTGTTTATCGGAGAATAATCACTATAAATATTCGCTGTTATTACTATAGGGAGAATGGGTGAAGACAAATTATGTTAGTGTCAGTTTAGTTTCCTGTAACAGTTCAGTCATGGCTCTCAAATAGTCTGAGATTCAGTTAATTAAATCATTATTTTAGTAAATAAATAAATAATCAGCTTTTGAGAAAACTAGCTTGGATTCTAGGTGTCTGTTTTGGGACAATATACTTTTACTTGCAGGTGTAGGTGGAACAGAGAGATGTTACCAATGTGAATTTATGGCATCCTTTATTACTATGGAGGAATGGGAAGATACAGATGGCAAAACCATCTGCTCACATAGTTTCTAGACACTCAGCTCTTCCGGTTTCCCACTGGTGCTCATTACCAGTGAGTGAATTTCAGAAACAGAATGTTATTGGTCAGTGCTGACCTACTTTGTCATATTAAATGAGCCCAAGGTTTTTTGGTTTTTGGGCAGAGGAAGTTTTTGAATGTATTTATGTCAGCCTGTATACATCTTCTATGTGTTTGTTCTACTTGATTTCATTGTTAACGGAACTATACATCTTAATACCTTTTAAGAAATTTAGATATCAAACTTTTCTTGAGCCCTTTTTATTGCATGGCACTAAGAGTACTCAATTGAGAAGTACCATCAAGTCGGAACTGACCCATAGCGACCTATCTTTCTTGCGCAGAGCAGCTGTTGGATTCAAACCCATACTTTTAAATTGGAAGCACAATTCCTTTCCATTAAGCCACTGCAGGAGAAAAGTGTCAGTCTCCTCTCTTGCGATTTACTGCCTCTGAAAGTGTGCTAGAAAGTCAGCTATGAGTTGATTCCAGCTCATCAGCAATACAAGAACAAGACACCAGAGTTTCCTCAGTTGAGTAGTAGGAAAAATTTAAAAATTTTGAAAACTCATACTGTACCAGTATAGGGTGCTTTGCTGGCTTTTCGGTAAGGAGTTGTGATACCAGCACAAAGACCAGTAATTAGAATCCACCAGCTGCTCTGTGGGGAGGAAGATGGGCAGTCTCCTGTGCCGTTTACAACCTCTGGAAACCTACTGGAGGGTCATCTAGGAGTTGGTTCCAGCTTGGTGGCAGTGTCAGCACAACTATTTTAAGAGCCTTGGTGGTATAGTGTAATGTATTGGACAGCAAACAGAAAGGCTGATGGTTCGACTCCACCTCTCTTTGAGAGACAGATGAGCAGTCTTTTCTTGTAAAGATTTGCAGCCTTAAACATTTGATTAGTAAAGAGGGGGGGTGTCACCATGAGCTGCAGTTGACTGTGGCAGTGGGTTTGCTTAAAAATCTAAAATTCCCTGTAAGAATTTTCCTTAAGGAAATAAAGTCATATTCATTTGGGAGGTGGGTTGAATATACTCTTCCCTCCCGCCAATTCTAGAAAAGTAATGTGCTTTTTATACATAATAGTACATCTCAATTTGGGATAACTGTGTGCTTAGTGGCTACCATATTGGACAGCACAATTATAAAGTGGACACCCCCTCTTGGTTGACCTTGGCTCTATCCACATTGCTTCATTCCTAGTTTTTGTAATAGGCTGTGGGCTCATCCTGTCCTATGGTAGTTTTTTTATTGACTCTGAATTCTTTCCCCCTCCTTAGGACTGGGGGTATTTTATTTTTTCAACTCATTATTCCCTGTACCTTACCTTTTAGCTTCTCTGCATATTTCTTCCTTTTATATTGGTTGTTCTCACCTTTAAAATGAAACCTTCCTTCTGCCCCACATTTCCTTGTTCTCTTTTACACTTTATGATGGTTTTAAATAGACAGATGTGTCTCAGAGTTGTACCCCTTCTCCAGAGCTATTCAGTATGTGGGCTGAGCAAACAATTTGAGAAGCTAGATTTATCTGAAGAAGAGTATGGCATCAGGGTTGGAGGAAGACACATCAACAAACTGCATTTGTTCAGGGGACCAAACTTGTAGAAAGTGAAGAAGTCTTGAAGTAAATCAGTGACTATTATGGATTATGCTTCAATATCAAGATTTTCACCACTGGACCAATAGGCAATATCATAATAAATGGAAACAATAAGTTCTCTGTGATTTCCTCTTACTTGGATCCATAATCAATGCCCATGGTAGCAGCAGTCAAGTTATCAAAGGAAATATTCCACTGGACAGATATATTGTCAAGGACTTTTTTTTTAAAAGGACTTCTTTAAAGTGGTCAGGAGCAAGGATGTCATTTAAAAGACCAAGATGTACTACCTGATCCAAACGTTGGTGTTTGCAGTTGCTTCAGATGCTTGGGAAAGCTAGGCAGTGATTAAGGAAGACTGAAGAATTAATGCCTTTGAATTGTGGTGTTGCCAAAGAAGAGTATTGAATATAACATGAGCTGCCAAAAGAACAAACATGTCTGTCTGGGAGGAAGTACAGGTAGGGTGCTTCTTATAGGCAAGATGCAAAAGAAGCAAAGGCCATATGGGGAAGTCCAACTGTAGTCTCTCTTAGCTTTGCAAAGGGGCAGTGTCCCCATCAGTAACTTCCATGGTACCAAACAAACAGCTAGAAGGTTACCCATGGCCCCTCAGGCTTATGCACCTACTTCTGTTAATCACTGGTTCTCATACTTACTGCAAGTTGACTCACATAATTGACTTTACTCACACTTGTAGGTTTTATTAAGGAAATACAGTGGGTGGTGGAGGAAGCAAAGGATATCACATTGATGATCCAAGTTCAGTCTAGCAACACAATATTCTCAGTCCAACAAGCTTTGTCTCATCAGTCACAAGTCAGCTCTTCCTTCAGTTGTCCAGCAAGGAAAACCTTTAATTCTGGCTCTGACTCCAAGGCTGTATCACAGTATATATACCCTGCTACAGTCTCTGCAGTCTGACCATATCTCTATCTTGTGTTGGCGCCACAGCGGGTGATGGTGTAGAAGACGCTAATCAACGTGTGAAGCATGTATCTGCATTTTAGGCACTGGAGACCATGCCCCTAGAAGGGGCTAGAACAATGGACATAAAGGTCATTTTCAAAAGTCTTACCATTCAAGGATGGTAAAACTTTGGCTTACACAGTTTGGGTATGTGGTCAGGATATATGAGTCCTTGGAAAAGTATGGAGTCAACAAAAGAGAGGAACACACTCAATGAGATGGATTGACATGGTGACTGCCTCAGTAGGCATGAGCATGGTGGAAATTGTGAGGATGGCACATGATGGGCAAGGTTTCAATTTGTTGTTGATGAGATTACTATGAGTCCAAGTCAACTTGACATCTAGCAACACCACCACCACTCTATAATGAAACTTGTTTTAGAGAGATTGTTCTCTCCACTTGTTCCCTCCTTCAGTCCATTGCAAACTGTCTGCTACTTATTTCCACTACACTCTTACTACTGCCACTAACTGATGACTTCTGATGTTAAATCCAGTAGGCAATTTTTAGACTTTTTTAGCCTTACTTCCCTAGTTACTTTACCATGTTGTTAGGTGCTGGTGTGTTGACTCAGGCTTATAATGAACCTGTGTCCAACAAAATTAAAGCTTGCCTTATCCTGCATCCTTATCCATCATCCCTGCAGTTTAAGCCCATTATTGCATTTTTTTATGTCAGTATATCTCTGTGAA